ACATAAGGAGTCAGCAACCCGTTGAGTCGCTTAGCCAGTCTGTATGTAGGTGTGGGTATCTGGCTGATGATTGGCCGAAGTGGGTTTCCAGGCTTGTGGGTCTTGACATTTCCATAGGCATTGTTGGGGAATACAAACTTCAATACTCCGTACCAATATAGAAACATCAAGAGGAAGTATGGGCCAATAGGCCCTTTGCAGTTACTTCCATTCTTATGCTCTCATATATCCAATTAATACCCATTGTTCCGTGTTCTGTCTTGTGTTTGTCAAAAGTTTGTTTACCTCATCCAAAATTGTTGCAACATATCACCTCACCCAAGTGCGAGTATATAAAACGAATAAGCTGTTTAGTGTTAGCATAAGTAAAACTCTGTTTAGTGTTTTCAGGTTACAGTTGTCTGTGTAAACTAAAATCTTTGAAAATGTAATAAGTTATTACGAAACGCGTTCAAGCATCTCGTCAGACTAGAAATAAAAATTAATTTTGGAGAATTGATTTTTCAATTACCATCGACAGTAAAAAGAAACATAAGAAATATTGAAAAAATTCGTGTTAGAATTATTAATTTTACTTTTTCGGTCATATTTAACAACATATATAATGTATGTATGTATATGTATATATATATATATATATATATATATATATATATATATATATATATATATATATATATATATATATATATATATATATATATATATATATACAGTGTGTGTGTGTAAATTGAGGCAAAAATGTGTCCGTATTTCTCTCAACTTAAAATATCATGTATTTTGATTCAAATATAAAATGGAAAGTGTACGAATGGCTAGACACACGGTCTATTATTGTCAGCAATCAATCACAGCAGAAAGAAACACAAATTCACAACCTCTCAATTTAAAGACTTTTGCAGTAAAGCCAGGCTTGGATGCTGAAGCCAGGTTTGGGCACTGCCGCCAGGCTTGGACGCTGAAGCCAGGCTTGGGCACTGCAGCTAGGCTTGGGCACCGCAGCCAGGCTTGGGCACTGCAGCCAGGCTTGGGCACTGCAGCCAGGCTCGGATTCGGCACGCGGTTTTCCGCAAACGTTGGCACTACGGTTTCAGAACAAGGCACTCTTGCCTATCACAACTGCTGGACCACCAATATATGGCATTAAATGCCATGGAAGACAAACACAACGCTGACGCAATATACACAGATTTCGCAAAACCGTCGACAAATGTGACCATGGTGTTTTTGCACAGAAACTGCGTTCAAAAGGATTTAAAGAAAAAATAGGAAGATGTAGCTACAATTTCCTAAGTAATAGAACCCAATGTGCAATAGTCAACAGTAAAATCCGGACCATCAACCGTGAAGAGCTCAGTCCCCCAGGGTACTGTGCTTGCTCCAATACTTTCTCATTCTCATATTGAACATAAACTATAGTACCGTATCATCTTTGCAGATGACACTAGGATTTTTATGAGAGTAGACAACATGAGGACACAGCAAACCTTCAAACTGCTGTAAATCAGGTCTTTTAATGAGCCACGGAAAATAATATGGTATTTAATGAAGATAATTAAGTTCCAGGTCCTGCGCTACGGAACAATTGAAAATATAAAACCGTAAACCACGTACAAACTTAGTGAAATCATACCATGGAACGTAAAAGCAATGTATTTGGGTGAAATCATGTCAGAAGACCTTACCTTTAAAGAACAAAATCAAGTATAGTCGTCACAACTGCAAGAAAAATGACAAGTTGGATAACAAGAACCTTTCAAACAAAAGATGCAGTACCAATTATGATACTTTTTGAGACGCTAGTGCTTTCTAAAGTGGAATGTTTTTGCACAATAACAGTCCCTTTCAAAGATGGATGAATTGCTGACCTAGGGAGCATGCAGAGATCTTTTACTGCTAGAATCTGCTAAACCATCTAAAATATTTGGGCCTACTAAAATGCTTAAATCTGTATTTTCTAGAGCGCAGCCGGGAGAGATGCATAATAATTTACATATGGAAAATATTAGAGGGGATGGTTCCAAATCTGCACACACAAATAACATCACACGAGACCAGAAGGCATGACAGGATGTGCAGGATACCCCCACTGAAGAGCAAAGGTGCAATAGGTACTCTGACAGAACTCTATCAACATCAGAGGCCCGAGACTGTTCAACACGCTTCCACTGCACATAAAGGCATATCTGGCCGACCCCTCGCAGTGTTCAAGAGAGAAGATAAACATATCCAAAGGATACCGGATCAACCAAACTGTGATTAAATCCCATCCTCCTGTTTTCGTAGCACTTATAGTAGCGATGAGGACCATAGTACATCGTCCTATAGTCCTTTTGCTGTTCTGTTGCCTTTTCTGTTGTTCTGTCCGTCATGTAACTATTATCATTCTCTTTATTTGTTTTCTTTTTTTTTAAATTCAATTTGTGCTTTTGATCTCAATTAGTATTAAGTTTTAGTCTGAGTGTTTTTCCCCACACCTTGCTAGAAACGCTGTGCGCTGTCTGCAGTGCGTATATTAGTGGCTTCAGGCATTGTATGTACTAGCATTATCTATTAATCCGACATTGTATTTGTAACTCATTTTCAATGTATATACCTGAATAAATATCTTATCATACATATACCAACGTACAACGCAGTCAGAACTCACTGCCGGCGCCATTGCTAGCTGGCCGCACACGGTTTTGTTCTCTGGAAAACTTAAGATTCTAAGCACCCATCAGCTCAAATCATCGCAGTGTTGTGATGATGAGCCCATCAATACTCCAAGACCCAGAGAATATCTTGTTTGGAAGGCAACAATACCGATTTCGTCTACAATTGATGGACAAACAACGTTATTGATAAACTGTTGTCCAGTTGACTGGTATTCTGCCCAACACAGAACGCAGGCGACCCAAACTGTCGTACCACATTCGTCGCCCATGACCGATTTTTTTTGTGTGAGGACCATATCACTGACCAGGTCACTTAGAATCCTACTCCGTAGGGCGAGGCGATACCCTACAGCCATCGCCACAGGGTATCCCGAAGACTGCTTGAGGTTTCAAGAAGACCTAGACAAACTAAAGGAATGGTCGAACAAATGGTTGTTAGATTTTAACCCAAGCAAATGTAATGTAATGAAGATAGGTGTAGGGGGCAGGAGGCCAGATACAAGGTATCATTTGGGAGATGAAATTCTTCAAGAGTCAGAGAGAGAGAAAGACTTAGGGTAGATATCACGCCAGACCTGTCCCCTGAAGCCCATATCAAGAGGACAACATCAGCGGCATATGCCAGGTTGGCCAACATAAGAACGGCCTTTAGAAATTTGTGTAAGGAATCATTCAGAACTTTGTATACCACATATGTCAGACCAATCCTGGAGTATGCAGCTCCAGCATGGAGTCCATATTTAGTCAAGGATAAGACTAAACTGGAAAAGATTCAAAGGTTTGCCACCAGACTAGTACCCGAATTTAGGGGTATGAGCTACAAGGAGAAACTATGGGAATTAAACCTCACGTCATTGGAAGACAGTGAGAGTTAGGGGGATATGATCACCACATACAAGATTCTCAGGGGAATTAATAGGGTAGATAAAGACAGGCTATTTAACACAAGGGGACACGGGGGAAACTGAGTGCCCAAATGAGCCACAGGGATATTAGAAAGAACTTTTTTAGTGTCAGAGTGGTTGACAAATGGAATGCATTAGGAAGTGAGGTGGTGGAGGCTGACTCCATACACAGTTTCAAGTGTAGATATGATAGAGCCCAATAGTCTCTGGAACCTATACATCAGTTGACTGATTGTTGAGAGGCGAGACGAAAGAGTTAGAGCTCAACCCACCCCCCAAGCACAACTAGGTGAGTACAACTAGGTGAGTACCAATCTGTTCTCTTACAAATTACGTCTGAATTTGACCGTTTTTGCGTATGACCGAAAATGAACGTAATTTGAAAATTAAAAATATATGAAAATAAATTTTTGTAATTTTTTTCCAAAATAGCAAGTTAAGTGTCCTCTGGTAGGTTAGGAGGGCAGGAAGTTCTAAAGTTTCAAAACGTCATGTAAACCGTTAATTGAAAGTTTCCTCTCCTAACCTAACCGAGTAAGCCGGAGGACTCAAAACAGAAAACGGGACAGTACATTAAATTAAATTAAATTTTTTATTCAGGTAAGGTACATACATACAAGGTAAGATACAAAGTTGTATCACTCTCATGAGCCGATTTCATTTAAAATTACGTCCATTTTTGCCATAGCGCATACGAGCGAAAAGCGATGTGATTTTAAAAGGACGGGTTGTACTCGGTTAGGTTAGGAGAGGAAACTTTCAATTAACGATTTACACGACGTTTTGAAACCTTAGAACTTCCTGCCCTCCTAACCTACCAGAGGACACTTAACTTGCTGTTTTGGAAAAACAAAATCTCAAAATTTATTTTCATATATTTTTTATTTTCAAATTATGTCTATTTTCGGTCATACGCACAAACGGCCAAATTCAGACGTAATTTGTAAGAGGACAGATTGAGTCTCGAGCCCATCGTTAATGTGACTATATGCATTGAATTTTATAACTAGCTCATCAAGACTGTAACTTGTTTAGCTAAATGAATTGTGGAGTTCAGTCCCTGAGCCCATTATTTGCATCTGTAACCCTTTCCACTACCGCCCACAAGATGGGTATGGGGTGCATAATAAATTAACTAAACTAAACTTATCGACATCATAGATATACAAAGATATTTAAAACCTGTGCCATCTGCAATTATATGGCGCTACCGTGCTGGTGGTGGAAAAAAAATGCTTTGAACTTTTATTATTATTAACACGTGTTAAATAATGTTTCTAACCGCCCGGTTGCTGTATAATCAACTTTATAATACCAAATTATAAAATGTATTTCAATATAAATGCAAATTTATATAATCGCAATATTTTCCAATAAGAGAGCAAGAGAAAAGAGGTAACTTCCAATATTGTGATTGATGTAGATAGGATACGCTAACAACAACGTTTGTCAACACAAACATGGCGGACCAGACCGCCCGGCAGCTGCAGTATGAGTATAAAGCGGTAGGTATTTCATGTTACACTTCTTTTTTTATGGCATATGTCGTGAATTTTTGTTATTTTACGCTATACAGAACTATTTCCCAAATATATATATGGAAGAGTTACGTTATACAGCTGAGCATTGATAAAGGCTTCAGCATGGGCTTTCGTGTTGTGTGGGTCTTATCAAATCGTACACAGACGTTTCGCTGAAAAGCTCGTGTTCTGATACATATTATATATATCTATCTATCTATATATATCTATATATACAGTAGATCGTATATTTGTTTAGCTTGGTTTGAGTTAGGGTAAGTTAGGTAGAATTTGAAATCCGTTCTCTAAATTGTCTTGTACAATGTGACATCCATTTTACTTAGTTTTGTTATCTACTCTTTATATAACGGCGTTATACAAAAGTATGATATTCAACCTTTTAAGTACAAATTTACTTGCATAATATTGCATGCTGCATATGTTGATCGAGGACTGTTCTGCCTTTCTTTCTTTGGGGGGGGGGGGTTGATGTGTTATACAGTATTCATATAATTATTATGCACAGATACAAGGTAAAGCCAAAATAAACACCAAATATGTATTTGTTGATTAAAGGTGTAAAGCTGTTCAAAAAGCTTGGTTGGGGACTGGGTCATGGGGCCGCTGATCCCCGGAAACTACACAAGGTAAACACAAGATAAAAGCCCTGTACAACCCTGTACAAGATAAAAGCTACAGTAACTTAGTACTGTAGTTTGCACAGTCATCTTGTGACAGATCGTCCCAGGTTCAAGTCTCAGGCAGGACAAAATGTTTGGGTATACATCCTTAAACCTGATGCCCTGTGCACCTAGCAGTAAATAGATTTCTGGGAATTGGGAAACTGCAGTGCACTGCATGGTCAGTCAGTGGCTTACAAGGATCGTGATACGTCTACACTGTATCAGGTTAATTTAAATAAGTTGTGGGTAGGTCATGAATGGTATATAAAAATATTTTTTCACGGCATATATGAAAAATTACTTAACCGAGATAGTTGTGGTTCTGTATTTAGGAAGTTCTGTAGATAGGTGACAGTAGGTACAGTATATCAAACTTATTTTCATGCAAGAACAACTAAATGATAATGCATAAACGACATGAAATAAATACATGAAGATTACCTTTTATTCATGTATCTTAGTTTTCAAAATAATAGATAACCTACCAGCACTTGTCATGTGGATATGGTGGCATTACACCAGCTGACTGAAAATTAAGGAATTTTGAGGCATAGTTAATATGCATAACTAATATATAAATAAATTTAACTGTAAATAATGAAAATAACATATGATGCTGCAAGGGCAATGAGAACATTAGGGAACTACAAAACTCATTGGAAAATCTACAGTATCAAAACCTAGTTAAGCTTGGTGTAAGGTTAAGAAAATCACTTTCTAAGAGGTTGTAGAATAAAATAATGCAGCCTGTACCTGTAGATGATTATAATAGTTAAGGAATAACTTTTGAAGAGTTTCACAATGAAACCTACAGAATATTTAATTATTCTAAAGGTAATGTGACTGGTTAACATGGAGTTGTTATAAGAGGACAGTGAGGATACAGATTTGCTAACAGAGGCTGAAATTGCATGTTGTAGTGGCCAGGATGTAGAGAAGAATGATGGTGATGAAACAACTGAGCAAGGTAGACTAATGATTTCTTGTTGGGGGATAGAAAGCCTGATGAGTTTATGAAGGGCTCTCTAGGCCAAATACTGACCTTTCCCAGGATGTAACCCACAACATTTGCCTAACTTCCAGGTATGTTTACTGCTAGGTGAACAGAGGCATCAGGTTAAAAGAAATGTGTCCAAATGTTTCTGCTCTGCTGCAGAAATCAAACCAGGATGTTTTGTTGTGAACTAACCTTGTTGACCCAATGCAAGGTACCCACATGGTGTACCTTGCGGGTACAACATCTAACTATATTCCTTAACTATTATAATCATCTTGTATTGTCTAAAAAGATTCTCTCCTCAATGTTTCCTGTAAAACAGACATTTAGGAAGTTGCAGTTCATTATCCACAAGTGATTGTTGGCCAAAGAATATTATGCGAGGGAAGTGAGGAAGAGTAAATGGCAGGTGAAAATAGCTATAATGTTATGGAAATATAAATTTCAAAGTCATGAAATACAGGCTCGGAGGCAGGATCCTCAACTTATGCAGATTTATCAGTTGAAAGCATCCTCAACTTATGCAGATTTATCAGTTGAAAGTATCGTAAACTGTGCTATCTTGAGGTTATCTTGAGATGATTTTGGGGCTTTTTAGTGTCCCCGCGGCCCGGTATTCGACCAGGCCTCCGCCCCCAGGAAGCAGCCCGTGACAGCTGACTAACACCCAGGTACCTATTTTACTGCTAGGTAACAGGGGCATAGGGTGAAAGAAACTCTGCCCATTGTTTCTCGCCGGCGCCTGGGATCGAACCCAGGACCACAGGATCACAAGTCCAGCTTGCTGTCCGCTCGGCCGACCGGCTCCGGATCGTGCTGGTGGAAGTTTTGAACCCTCTGGTAGTCTAAACTAAGATAAAGCACTTTCCTGATAATTACTTAGTCAATGTGACTTTCTAGTGCTTAGAGCAATGTGTCGATGTATAGCACTTGGAGGGGATATGAAGATTGGATATGAGGACTGGGGATGGAATAGCACCCAAGTACTTTGACCTCCAAGGATCGAACTGACCTTGCAGAATTTAGGGTCATCCTTTCAGAATAATCTTTTAAGCGTACAGTATATTATTTCATGCAGTTTGTTTTAATTTAAAACAGTACACTGCACTGAATACAGTACATGTACAAATTGCACTTGAGCTGTAAATGATGTGTTCTTGGAAAACCCTGTGGTAACAAGGTAACTTTACAAAGTGATCAAATCTAATGTTAATTATACAGTACTGTACTGTATATGAAAAGCACTATTCTGTGGGGAGCCCCTTTGGCTCCCTGGAGCTATTGGGCTAATGTGTGATATATTAGACCGGGGCATTAGTCTATAGAGTTCGACCTACCGGGGACCACGAGCCAGAACCTGGCCCCCCTTCTAGAGGTTTCAGGAAGCAATGGCTCTAGAAAACCACCCCTGTGGTTGGGGGTTTTCGGTATCTGCCATCGACCAGGGTTAGGCATCCAGAAAGGCATCCAGAAATCGACTTGAGAATGGTCCAGGACGGACCGAAACGTCGTCGTCCCTTCAATTTCTAGTGTGTGGTCTGGTCAACATACTTCAGCCACGTTATTGTGACTCATCGCCTGCATCCAGAAAGGTAGGCATAACAAAACAAACCCCATATGGTAAGAAAATACAACTAAATACTGAAAAGAGAGGCAGAACTCCGTCCATTTCCAAAGAAACTAGTAAACCAAACGTCACGCTCCACTGCCACGCCGCCCTCCCCGCACCGGCTATCCAGCACTTGTGGTTCGGGGAGGACGTCTTCTCTGGCCTCGATTTCCAAGGTGGTATTTTGCCTTCATGGCAACCTCTGCAGTGGTGTGTGTGGTGGCCAGGTGTCCTCATCATTGCCGGGGCTACATGTGCCTAGGGGCCTCCTTCCCTAAGCACCCTGTGATGCTACCCGTGCTTGCTGGTTAAGGTTCTCGTCCCTAGTACGAACCAATTCCATAGAGGTTTTTGCTGCTCGGCACTTACCCGCGTCCTAGGGGCCAGCTGGGGTTTTGTGGCCCCTGTTTGATCTTTGGTAGGGATTGGTATCGTGCTGGTTGGGGCATCAAGATGTTTTGCAGCTTGCCTACCTACACGGCGACCAGTTCCCATTTCTTCTGGGGACGTTATACTTTTGCAGGGTTTTTCCTTTGTTTTTGTTTTCCTTGCCTAGTGGTATGGCTCTTGCTGTGTACCTCCTGCGAGACCCGAATTCTGCCTCCGTCATGGATCCGTCCTTATATGAGTTCGGTTTTTCTTTCCCGTATTGGGTGCATTTGGAAGTTCCTGTCTGGCAGACTGTTCATTCTTTTCGTTGGGAGCGTGGCATGAGTTCTGTCGAACCCGCACGCTTGAATGGCGAGAAACTTCTACCGTTCTGCAGGTTTGCCTGGGGGACGAGTTTGAGCACCTTAATGCATGCCTGTTCGCTCCTGTGCTTTCTTGGAATGTTGGCCTTGTACAGCTGCATGTGCAGGTTCCTACCCTTTTGGCGTCCCTGGTCGCTGAGGATTTCCGCACCCGTGGGCATTTGTCTTCGGTCTTGTGCTTCATTTCCCTTCTCAAGCTGTCTTCGACCTGGCTTGAGGAGGAAGTGGAGGCGTTGAGTGCCGAGCCTTCGTCGGGTGTGCTGGCATTGGCGACTCGGGTGTCGGCCTCACTGATTTAGCTGTTTGCGCCTATCCTGAAGGAGGCAGTGTCTCTGTTCTTTGTTTCTTGTCTCGTGTACCGTCAGGCTGTGCTCACTCTCTTTAGAATCTGCTTGGGCCCTGGCTCTTCAGTTTTTGTTACTGTTTTGCTCGTTGCTGTTTGTGGAGGCTGCTGTCACGCAGTTTCTGCAGGCGGCTTCATCTAGTTGTCGTCCTATGTCGGACTTGTTGGTTCTCCTGGGTGGCTTTTCTCGACCTTCTCAGAAGGGTTGTGCCAGGGAAAGGGGAAAGAAGAACTGAACTCATATAAGGACGGATCCATGACGGAGGCGGAATCCGGGTTCTGCTGGTCGGGGTGGGTCATTGGTGCCAGCTTCGGAGCCGACATCGTCTGGTTGGCACGATGATCGCCCTGTTCGTCAGTTGGTTTCTCATAAGGGGCATCAGCCCTTTCGCAGTTCGCCCCATTCACGGGGCGATTGGGGGGGGGGGCTTGCTTTGTTTGCTCACACTTGGTCCCACGATTTGTAGGCGTTTCAAGTCGTTTCATTCAGCCTCTGGTGGCGTTGGGCGGCTCCTCCTCCTTCGAGAGGTTCAGGGCTAGCAGGACAGCCTTCTCCTGCGCTTCTTCTCCAGCCTTTTTATCAGATCATTTTCGAGTGGGT